TGGGGGGGGGGGGGTGTGGGTGTGTGGAGGCCTGGGAAGGCTCGGGCTTTGTGTGTGGTGTGGGACAGGGGCTCTGGGCCCCTTCCTTTCAGATGCAGGAGGTATGCAGCTAATTCAATGGGCTGCAGTTTGATTACCTATCTGATAACAGAGGAATGCCAGCAATGTGTGTGTTTTGGGAAGGGGGCAGGGGGGATGCGCAGGGACCACCAGCCACTCTGCAGCTCACATCAAAAGGCTGCGGGGTGGGGGGGGAAGAGCTGGGGCGCCCCAGCCTCTGTCCCCCCACCCTTCCCTGGGGAGAGGGCGTTTCCTTTGGCCTTTTGGCGGAGGGGGCTGGGGGGTGGCTGTCATCCTCACCCGCTGCTGGAAAATAAATCGCTTCCCCATCATGTTGTGGCAGCTTCTGCCTCGTCCCTCCTCTTCCTCGGGGTGGGGGTGACGGGGCTGGGCTCTGGCAGTGGGGCGGTGGTGCCCGAGGTGTGGCTGAGCTGGGGGGGCCCAGCCTGTGCGCTGGGGTCCCCCCGGCACGGCTCAGCTTTATCCCGAAGCTCGGGACTGAGCGCCTGGGAGTTTTCATCCCCGCAGTGTAAACACAGCTGGGCCAGCTGGGGCTGTAAACGCCCCGAGAGGAGCCACGGGAGGTGGTTGGCCTCGTCCCGCGGCTTCCAGGGCTGCCTCCTGTGCCAGGGAGGGGTGCTCAGCCCCTCCTTACCCCAAAACCCTGCCGTGGAATGGGGTAAATTCCCTGTCCGGGGGAGCTCCCGTTGCCCGAATCACCTCGCACGCTGGGGACAGGGCAGGGTGGGAGGCTGAGCCGAGGCACCTCTGGGATGTGCTGGTGCTTTGGGCACAGTTCCTGCCTGGGGCATGCAGCTGGGCTGGGGGTGGGGAGCAGTTTGGTCACCGTGGGGGTTTGCCGGGGGCTGGTGCTGCTGGAACTGCCCTGGGTGGGCAGAGGTGGCTGTGAGACCCTGTCCTGTCCTTGTTGTCGTTTGGGACCCTCGGAGCTCAGGGTTTGGCTCTCCCTTTAGGCAGCAGGAGCAGGTCAGAGAGCAAAGGAGGATCCGGTGTGGCCACTCTGGAGCCCATCCCAGCAGTCAAGGGGATCCAGGGCATGGGGGTGACTTGGCCAGCACATGGGGTCTGTCCCACCCTGAGTTGGACCCCCAGGCACAGGAAGGGAGGGGAAAAGCAGCAGAAAAAGGGGTCCCAAGGGCTGTTCCTCGAGCTCAGCTCTGTTCCCACTTCTCTCGTGCCCACGGACATCCCACAAAGACCCTGCCGAGAAAAATCCACTCCTATAACCCAACAACTCCATTTCTTCCCTCTCTGCTTTTACATGGGGTGTTTCCCCGGGGGCTCCTGCTGAGGTTTGGAGTGGGGATGGGAGCAGACCCGTCCCGTGCAGCCGCCACAGGGATGCTCGGTGCGGGAAGAATGGGAGAACACGGCCCATGTGACGGGAACTCTCCGGGCCATGAATGGGGGAGATGCTCCATTCATAAATGCAGGGTGGTGCTGCAGCCGCGCAGGCGTTGGCAATCCCCAGCCGGCAGGAGCTGCTCCTCCCTCTGCCAGCAAATTCCCCTACACTCCTTGCTCGTGCTCGTTCTGGCTCCGCTGGCAGAGCTGCGGGAATGCCGAGCTGGAACTGCTGCCCGGGATGCAGAGCAGCCAGGGATGCTCCCGGCACAGGGGGGTTGGGAATTGCCTCACCCAGCTCTGCTCCTTAGGGATTTGTTCTGCTAAAATGGATAGAGCCCCTGAAAGTGGAGTGGGTTTTCCTGTCAGCTCACAGTCCCCCTCCCCAGCCTGGGTTTTTCTTGGCTGCCCTAGTTTGATTGTGTGGTGATAACCGATGTGGTGTTCCTGGAAAGAATGGGAGAAGCTCCCAGCAGTGATAATCCTGTGTCAAATGGCTGCTTAATTAATTATTGCAGGCAGTTAAAGGGCTTGAACTGAGGTGAGCCTGCTGGCCTTGCTAAGGGCCTGCCACAAGCTGGGTTCCTTCCATTGTGCCAAGCCTCGAGATTCTTCTGTATTTCCAGAAAAGGAAAACTGAGGGACAGGCAGAGGGGGACATTTGCAGCTCTTGTGCCGCAGGAGGGCTTTGTGCTGTGCCTGGAGAGCCCCCAGCTCTGCGCTGACCCCCATCCTCCCCCTGTGCCCCCCAGAGCAAGCTCCACATGGAGGGTTTCCGCAGCCTGAAGGAGGGCGAAGCTGTCGAGTTCACCTTCAAGAAATCATCCAAAGGTTTGGAGTCCATCCGGGTGACCGGCCCCGGGGGCGTCTTCTGCATCGGCAGCGAGAGGAGGCCCAAAGGGAAGAGCCTCCAGAAGCGCAGATCGAAAGGAGACCGGTAAGGGCTGGGGCTGAGCCCTGTGGGCACCGGGAGCTGCCCGGGCACCCTGCGATGGGCAGCGACCCCTGACTGGGAAAGCAGATTCCTGCGGTGCATAATGAGTGGCAGATGCAGCTCGGTGGGGAAAGGGCAGGGGAGCAGCAGGGAAGGAGCAGAGGTCAGGGACACCCCGGGCAGCGCTCCCCTCGCCCGGGGAGCCGTGCTGGGCTTGGGGGAGTTTTCTCCAAGAGAAGCCTTTCCTTGTGGGAAGGAAATAGCCAGACGTCCTGACAGCGTCTCCCGTGGTGGGATGGGAACCCCGGGGCAAGTTCCTGGCCAGTCCTTCATCCCCCCTTCCATCCTCTCCTGTCCTCTCCATCCCAGCTGCCTCATCCCACTTTTTTCCCAGTGGACTGGATGCTGTTCCACCCCAGTCAGCTGTTCTCATAAACGGGTTTTAAAATTAATCAGAAAGGAATTGTGAAGGAAGAAGGAAGAGAAAAGGGTTGTGGCCATCCTGTATGGATGCAGGATTTAAAATGGACACAAGGCAGGTCCCTCTGCTCGCACGGCTCCGGTGTGAGGGTGGCACCCATGGGACGAGTGCTGCAAGGCACAGCCCTGTGAGAAGCCACCACTGGGGATGTCAGTTGTTCCTGTGCCTGCTCCCGGGAGTGGGCTCTGGAGACACGGCAGCCAGGACACTGATGGAGCCAGAGATGGGGGTGGAACCCCCAGCATCCCGATTTTGTCCCCGGTGTGTGGCTTCAGTGCAGTGGTTTGCTGCCATCTCCTGGGTACCAGCAGCACCACTGAGCCCCAGCTGGGAGTGCCGGAGCTGCCGCTCTGCAGGGACCAACTCTGGGGCCACCACCCACCCTAAAAGCCGAGCCCAGCTCTGGCTGAGAAGCCAAACGGGTCCCTGGCACAGTCACAGCATCCTTCCGCCTCATTTTATTTCTCCTCCTCTCCCACAGGTGCTACAACTGCGGCGGGCTGGACCACCACGCCAAGGAGTGCAAGCTCCCGCCGCAGCCCAAGAAGTGCCACTTCTGCCAGAGCATCAGCCACATGGTCGCCAACTGCCCCGCGAAAGCACAGCAGTCCCCCAGCTCGCAGGGAAAGCCCGCCTACTTCCGAGAGGAGGAGGACATGCACAGCTCGGCTCTCCTCCCCGAGAGCCGGGAATGATGGTGGGTGGCAGGGAGAGGGGGATTCCACCGGGATGAGAAGGCTTTGGCAAGGCGAGGGGCAGCCGCGGGGCTCGGAGGGGAAGGGCCGGGGAGGGCAGGTGGCAGTGCTGGCAGCGGGGACCTGGTGTCCCTGCACAGACCTTTCCCCCGTGCCCAGGCTGGGAAAAGCCCTGTTAGCATCAGGATGGCTTGCTCCAAGACGGGGGAAGGCAGCACCCAACACGCTTCTTCCCGCTAGAAACCCCAAATTTGATGAATCTTTATTCTTTCCCTAAGTTAAGCCAGGCGGTCGTGCCTTGGGGAGGAGGAGCAGAGGGGCGGCATCCCAGGGAGGAGCTCACGGCTCCTTGTTCTCCTGAGCTTCAAACAGGCTCCGGCACGGGCTGGATGAGCTGGACCCGCTCCTGTGCCTGCCCCGGGAGCGAGGCTGAGGGAAAGGCTGCCTGTGGAGCACCAGGGACACGCCCGTGGGCCGGTCCCGCGGGCCCCTCTGCTCCTCCTGGCTTCTCACTTGCAGGGGGGTGTGAGGATTTACGGTTTTTCCATGGTTGCTCCATTGCTGCCAGCAGCAGAGCTCAGATTTGGGCTCAGTCTGGGAGGAAATGGATCATCTCTCGGGGCTGGACTAACACCCCCTGTTTGTGTGCTGCGGGCTGCAGCCTGGGGGAGAGCAAGCCAAAAGAAAACCACTTTTATTCCCCCTCATCCTCCTCAGGTGCCAGCCCAGAGGGCACGAGGTGTTTGACGCAGCCAGCTTTTCCCTCTCGGGCTTCTCCCAGCCTCCAGAACGCGGAGCTGGGAAAACACCTCCGCTCCTCCTGCCCTCCCCACGCTGCAGAACCCGCTGGCTGTGGGGCTGAGCCTCCCCAGGGACAGGGGACCAGCCTGTCCCGGGTTAGTGGCTGCTGTTCCCCCTCCCCACAGCCCTTCCCAAGTCTTGCCTTTATTTATTGGCCCCGGTGGACCCCCCTTCTCCCGGGGAGCCCCCCGGCCGTGCCGAAGCCAAGGCCAAGTGAAAGCTGCACTAGGATGTGCGTGAATGACGTATCTTTGGGTTTGTTTGTCGTCTTTGTTTTGGGTTTGTGGTTCTTTTTTTTTCTTTTTTCTTTTTTTTTTAATATAAATATTCTGGGTTTGTATTTTTGTATATTTTAATCTTTAAGAAAAGAAAAGGAAAAAAAAAAAAAAAAAAAAGAGAGAAAGGACATAATTCCTGCAACTTATTCTCAGGTATTCGAGCAATCTCAGGGATAAAATGCCTCTGTAGCCCAGTGCTGGACAGAGAGGAGGGTTTTTTTTAACAGCACAAAGAAATTATGAAGTTTGTATTGGAAGTGTAGATCTACCTCACTGGATGTTTGCTAGGTGGGCTGATGTGTTGTCAAGCTTTTCAAATGTGTTTTTTGGTATGTTTGGGATTTTTTTTTCTTTTGAACTGTATTTTAATGGTTTCTTTCCCTTCCCTGTGCACTGATGGAGGCATTTGGCTCTGTGGGTCCGTGTGTGGGGATGGAGAAGCCAAGCAGAGCCATGGGCAGGGAATAGGTGCTAAGAGCCTGTGTTGGCTCCCCAGGTCCTGAATTTCTCCCAGCCTGGTGGCTTTTGAGGACTGTCCTCTGTTTCTCTCTCCTGTCTGGAGAGATGGGAACCCTCCAGTGCACCCATGCCTGTGTCCTCCTGCTGCCCGTGGGCTGGGATGTCACACAGGCTCTCAGCAGGCTGGTGCCGTGTGGCTGGGGGTCAGGATGGGGGTCCCAGCCCCATCCAGGGGGACAGAGGAAGAGCAGACAGTGACCAGAGAGTGTTGGGAGGCAGGGTTACCCTCAACCCCTGCCCTTCCTCACCCTCGAGCTCAGGTCCATCACCTCCAGGGATGGGGAACCCGGTTCCGATTCCGAGGGAGGTGCAACTGCTCCATCTTTTTCTCCTTCCTGGCTTTCCTCAAATGCTGACTCACCATGGCTGGGGGAAGCTCTGGGTCCCAGGTTTTGGGGTATGAACACCCCTCTTGCAGCCCAGGGGGGTGGCTGGAGCCTTCCCAGGGAGGGTGTCTGGCTGTGCTGGGCACATTTCCTGCTGGTTTTTAGTAGCAATAGGTTTAGATGTGGGGCAGGGCGGGATCAGACAGGAGCACCGACTCCATTCCCAGGGATGGGGGACTCTGGGGGGACTCACTGAGGCTGCTGGAGCCCAGTGACCCCCAGCACATGGGCATTGAGGGGGATGGAGAGCCCCAGCTGCTCCCTGCCCTGCTCCAGTAGTTTAGGGTGAGGTGGTGGTCTCTTCTTGGGACAGGGGGAAAGGACTTTTAGTCCTTGACTGGCAACAGGATCTGTACAAAACTGCTTCAGGAAAACAGCTTTAGACTGACGGGGTAAATGCAATAGAGCCTTGGGTGGGGGGTGGCTCTTGGCCTCCCCCTGGCACCTCGGCTGTGCCAAGGAAACTGCTGCCCCCTTCATCCCTGTCTCTGCCCCCTTCATCCCTGTCTCTGCCCCCCTCATCCCTGTCTCTGCCCCCTTCATTCCTGTCTCTGCCCCCCTCATTCCTGTCTCTGCCCCCCTCAT